AAGACCAAGTTGCGACAACGAGGTCAACCAACTTCTATAAATCGAAAGGAGACTGCGACCATAACAGAGGTTACAACATCTTGGTATTCATATCTTTAAGAAAAGAGTTATTCATTAACGAGGCGGGGTTGGGAACCAGTTGGAGACTGCCGATGCCAGCGAGACATCGTCCGAAAGCAGTAGCCAACTGAGCACAAAAAATCCTAATCCGACATTGGGTTGAATGACTTTTGGTAGGAAAAAAAAACACTCGACCTACGATGTCATCGAAGATGTCACGTTGATGCAGATGGATGGTGATGAAGGTCTCATATTTGGTACGGTCAATTTTGGCAAGTTCCAGCGTCGTCTGGTCGATGAGGACGTTGAGAAGTGCGAGGAAGTGCTTGTTCGTGGCCGCCATGACTTTGGGGTCCTCGCGGCTCTCTTTCAGCGCTTCCGTGGCGTCGTGCGTCCAGATCCACTGAAGGCTGAGCAGACCCACTTGGGCCGGATAGGCGTTGAGGAAGGCGATGATGGAGAACTCTGGCTCCAGGATGACCATGTGCGCCCTCCGGATCACCTGACTCAGGCTGTACTGGGCCGTCTTCATCAGCCGGTCGAGCCAGGCCTCGACTGGCCCTTCGCAGATGACCACGGGCTCCAGCTGAGCTCCGAAAAGAGGTACAGGACAAGAGAAAATTGTGCTCATACCAACCGGGGCTATATGACATAATTAATGCTAAAATGGGGCAAGAGTCAAGACATAATCGTGATTTTTGCCCATTTTAGGCAAGAATACTGGCAGGAGGCGAATCGCCTGTATTCACACTTTTTCCTTAAAGATGATAAGCGGAATGGTAGTTGACATTTCTAAAAAAATCACCTGACCAGACGTTATGTTTCCATTCAACTTGCCATGGCCTTGCAAACCAAAAGTATCTCTCATTCCGGCTGGTGCCGACTGCAACTTCCATCTTGTCTTATCTGATCTGGTCAGAATCCCCAACGGGACTCGAAGCATGACATCATCCAGACACCTCAACCACGAGGCCAGAGGGCCGATGTGAATTGCAGGGGAAACCAGGCAATCCGGTGGTGGAATGTTGTCGATGAAACAAATTGGTATTTTCCATAACAATCGACTACGCTACTTATTTTCCGTTTTTTGTAAGTAGTCTTTTAAGACCACCCAGTTATGAGATGCATTCATCCTATTTCGTCCAACGATCAGACGAGTGGACCTTACACTTCGATTGCATTCCACGTAGCTCGGCCTTCCCAAAAAGTGTTCTCGTTCAGAGTGGACTGCAGTCTCGAAAATGCCTACTTTGAGTAGGTGAAAAACATGCAGTAGAAACTGGGTTTTGATGAATCTCTTGACATACACATTGTTGGGGGCACTTGCATTTTGCATGAACATGCATGAAGACATTCGTCGGTCGATCTCACCAGAAGAAGAGGACTTCGGACTCGCGTGGTACCGCAGCCGTTTGGCTTTGATGCCATGTTCAAGTTGACGCAATCCTTCCTCGTTTCGGGTGAAAACGGGCTCAGCTTTCGTCGATCATTTGATGGACATCATCACAGCTGGGCTACAGTCTGACGTTAACACTCGGTCAAGAAGACTTTTCGGCTCTACCTTACCTCTTATCTCAATTTAGAAAATAGAATTCGAAACCAAGGTAGAAAGATTAGATAGATAGATAGATAGATAGATAGATAGATAGATAGATAGATAGATAGATAGATAGATAGATATAGAATGGTTTTGCCAACCTACTTGT